CTGTGTGGAAATGGAAAATTCCTTTACTGTGTCGCCATAGCATTGAAGAAATACAATCTTGAACCATGCCAACTGGGCACAATGAGCACAAATTGTGCGGGGTAAATTTCTATTGATTTGAGGGAATATTGTCGCAATAATGAGAATGACATGTAACACTGGTAGCCTGAGGCAGGACACAAAGTTCTGACTACACTGTGGCTACCTGCTTGGCAAAATACAGTTGATGAAAACATATGGAACAGTTTGTCCTCAAATATTGGTACTGAAGCAAAGATTTTCTTCTTACTTAATTGACCTGTAACTTCAAGTCATTCCATATTTAAATGACTTGAGGGAACCCCAATTCAAACTGCAGGCCGGTCCTGAGCTTGCTGGGACCAGGGGAACAACAAAGTTTCTCACATCTGATGATCGCCTAACAACCCCATCTCACCCATAAAGTGTTTGCGTGAACATCAAGTGAGAACGGAATCTGGCTCGTCTAACTCTAAATAACCTCCTGCTAAGTTTGCTAAATTCTCATTAGGACTCCTAGTATGTTAACTTCCTTCTCAAAAAACACTGCAGGGTGTAATGTAATGTTCAACCTAACCTAGTCCATGTTGAGGTACCATAGCTACCGCCAAGTTGTCATGTGATCCCAGGAAGAGTCCAGAACTAGTCATTGCAACTCATGACTAATTCATGTGCTGTATACAGCACAATTCAGCAAAGTATACCTCAGTGTACTATACAATAGGTTTTAAAATTGATTTATTTTGGTGGGAGGGATTTTTAAAAATTCACAATTCTTACCTCAAATATTCAATCTCATTGATCCTCCAGCAACAGTAGCAATGGGATTGTTAATCTATTATTCCATGTATGATGACGATAATGTAAGCTCATAAATATAACCAACCATTAAAAAAATATTTAAAGTGCCAAAGCATAACAAACTGAAATGTTACCTTTTCCTTTGTAAATATTTTTAACTTGCCGTCATCAAAAAATATTCATTTTGCTAACATCTCCCAGACTGTTCTAATCTGATTCTAAGGTGCTGCATTTTACACCACCAGAGAAGCCAAGGATACAACTGCAATATGTATTTTTTCACACACACAGCAGAAGAGATAAGATACAATTTGTCACGGAGGAAAGACATTTATTGCACCACCTTTTTGAATATTCACCATTGCTTGCTTCTTTCTTAATAAAGCCAATCTCCTAGCTTGCTGTAACACAAATTTTCTATTACATTTTCTCAGACTGGCATGAAAATAGAAACAAAACACCACACCTTGGTCCACGGACAAAAAAACAGCAAGCATTCATCTGCATTAATAGTTCGCTCCAGACCTTTAGCTGCCCTGTGAAATTACCTTGTGAAATTAATAAATTAATTGTGAAATTAAAAATTACCCACCCCCCCAGACTACTGTTCTGTACCTAAGCCCCGCTCCCCCCTACAGCCTTGACCCACTACGCACACACCCGCACGCTCACACACACACTATTTGTAATTGGGCAATCCTGGCTAACTTCTGCTGAATTTCATTCCACAGCAAACAGGCTAGATATCAAACTACAAACTCCTAGATTGATCAAAAGCTGGGAGACTTTCAATCCATTATTAACACATCAACATCAATTTACATGTCTGTAACATCTTTCATATTGGGAGGATATCTTAAAGCTCTTCGCACAGCTGACTATGAGCTGAGGGTTTGGGGGTTGCTGAGGAGGATGGAGGAGGAAAGGTGACTGAAAGTGCAGTCAAAAGGATAGGTCTCAAGTTGAGGTTGGTGGGGGTGAGGCGGAGGAACTTTGAGGTAGAGTTCCTGAGAATCGGGGCAAAATGGCTGAAAGCTTACATATTGATGTTGAGGCAGATCAGGCGGGGACATGAAGGAGGCTTGTGTTCCCTGAACGGCTGGGGAGGTAGTGTCGCAGAAGTATGGTGGGTGAGGCCTTGGAGGGATTTGAACATAAGGGTAGCAATCTTGAATTCGATCCGCTGGGGGCTGGGGAATCAGTGGAACGAGCAAGGATGGAGGTGTCAGGCTCGTGGATACTGACTTTATTATCCTGATTTTAGTCCCGACTCTGGAAGGTGTAAATCCCATAACCAGAATACCTCAAATTATTTCCGTAAATGTACGGAAACAAACATCCACAGTAGGAGTATGCAGAATAATAAAAATTTTCTTAATTCCTTAAAAATTGTGTCTGCATAATTGAAGAGAATTGTATTACAATTAAACCTATGAGCGGGATAACTTGAGACTGACATCAGGCAGTAGAATGAAGCTCAAGGTCATGAGCTGCTTCCAAACCATATTGAAATTGAATCCTTGTTAAAATGGAGGAATGTCAAAAGCTGGACTGATCATATTGGGGATTTCGGTAAATCAAATGGACACCTTTGTGAGTGGGGTCTAGACATCAGGGCATAACATTGGCACACTTCCGCAGATTATTCAGATCTCTGCAGTTTTTGTCCGCTCCCCCACTAAGCTTCATGAGCCGATTCCCCAATCCCCCACCCCATCTTCGCCCAGCTTCACTGGCTCCCCATCCCCCAGAGGACCAAGTTTAAGATCTTCATTCTCACTTTTAAAGCCCTCCATGGTCTTGCTCCAACCTTCCTCCACAGCCTACTGAAACCTTACCAACTTTCGCGCTCCCTATGCTCGACGGGCACTGCTCGATGTCTCCCACCCTATCTGCCCCACCATCAGCAGTCGGGCCTTCAGCCTTTCTGACCCCAACATCTGGAACTCCATCGCAGAATCCCTCCGCCTCGCCCTTTTCCTTGCTTCCTTCAAAGCCCTTCTCAAGACCTTCTTCTTTTACCCCGCCTTCAGCCATCCTCCTACCCTCATTCCCCTTGGCCCTCACCCCTCTTGTTTCCAACCCCCAGATCGGATGCAAACCCTTGACTGTTCATCTCCTTGGGGCATCTTCTCGACATGAAAGGCGCTACACAAATGTAATGTTGTATTGTATTGTATATAAATGCAATTTGTTATTCCTATCATACCCTATTATTCCTGCTGCAAAGCATGGTGTTCTGCTAAAATTTTAATAAATACTTGTGTTCTCTTAAAAGGTCCAAATGGGGAGGTCTTTAATTGGATTCGGTATTCCAAATTATGTATAGGGACGCCTCAATGCTAGTTTAGACACTAGTTAGTGGTAACAATGTCTGATCAGCAGATTAATCAAAAAAAATTGTAATTTACAAAACACTGTAAGACCTGTTTGGAAAAACACAAAGTACATTTTATAAGATTATCCAAACATGGCAAATGGCACACCACACAACTGACACAATCTTCCTTGCTCTGTTACATAACCTCCACAATGCTGTCTGCCATGGTGTTATGTGAACAATAATAACTGGACAATGTTACATTCTAAACAAAAATACATTGTCAATGCAGGTTGTTTTCAAATCAGAATTGTTTGTTTTAAAAGAAAACAAGCCGTCGTTTCTAAAATATTTCCGCTAAACTGCAGTTAAATGAGATGCAAAACGTGCATCAATGTCAGGCAATGATATCAGACTGGGGAAATTAAAGGACACTCCAGTTACAATCACTTTGGAGCCATATTTGAACGACAATACCCAAGAGGGATTAGCAATAGCAAACTGAGTGTGGGGGCTGGGTATGAGGATCATGGCCACACACCAGAATCATACATTGATGCTCAGTAAACTGCACGTTTCAAACTCAAACCTGCAGCTGCAATTTTTTATATGTGTGTGGGGGGGGGGTGTCATTTTGAGCCCAATTCCTTCTCTCTCTCCCCCCCCCACCATACACTCCACCCCCACACAGAAAAAGTGCTGATGCTACTAAAATATTTATACAGCCCACTAACTGTGCAGACTGTAATCCGACCTAAAATTCCGCGTTGCAACAAAATTATTTCAGTCCAGCTCCTGTGGGCAAGAGAAAGAAGAATGCATTGCTTTAAAATAAAAGCTAATGGAAAACCTCCCATTTCCTCTGAGCTAAATGCTGTGGTAAACAGATGGGCTGGCAACCCAAATCCTCCCTCCCTCCCTCCCATCCCTCTCTCTCTCCTCTCTCTCTTTCCCTGCACATCAGGAATTAAACCAAAGAAAGAAGCCTTTTAAAACCAGGATTTTTTTCCCCCCCTTTTCACATTGCTTTCACTGAAATGCAGGAAAAAATATGGGAAAGGAAGGGAGGAGGGGGTGTGGGGAGGGAGAGAGAGAGAGAGAGAGGGAGGGAAGGATAGAGGGAGGGAAGGAGGGGAGGGGGGAGAAAGAATCCTCCCATCTATTCCCAGAAATGTCCATCTGGAATAAAGTCCTTGCCCTCTCGCTGTCTGTCTGTGTCTCTCTTTCCTCAGCAAAAAAAAATGTGCTGGTAAAATATTTATGCAATGTCTGTCTCTGCCTCTGCTCTGGCTGTCACCACCGTGAGTTACCTGCTGACTCCTCTATCCAAAGCCCTGGATACAAAACCCTTTACAGACTGACTCCATTACGAGAGAGAGAGAGAGAGAGACACACAGACAGAGAGATAAGGCAGGAGGGCTGCTCCCTCAGCACTGCACAGGCACAGCAATAGCACAGCAAACACAAGCAAGACTGGGAGATTTGCATCTGCATTTATATATATAATTATATCGATATAATAATAATAATAATATATATAAATATATTATATAGATGTGTGTTTATGTCCGAGTGAAATCTACATTGTTAGCAGTATTTTCTTGCAATTCCTCTCACTGGGGTTAGAGGCTGTGAGTGGGTGGTTTGGATGAGGAGATTGTGGAGGGGGGATGGGATGGAGGTAGGAGGGTGGGTGCATGGGGTGGGAGGGTGGGTGCTGGGGTGGGTGGGTGGGGGTGGGGTGCAGGTTGCAAACGATTGCAATTCGTCTCTTAATGTTACAATGTGAAAGAAATCCATAGCAGCAAATAATCATAATAATAATTATTAATAATAATAATAATGAGGAGGAGCTGCTTACAGTCCAGGTGTTTTTTCTTGGGTCCCATCACCTCGTGGGTCGTGGCTTTGCAGACGGCTCTGGCCACAGCCGACCCGGTCACACTGTACTGAGCGGCCGCGATACGGTCTGTGATGCTCTGGCCCGACATCTTCTGCTCCTTCTTCTTCTCCTTCTCCTTCTTCTTTTCCCTCTTCTTCTCCTCCTCCTCCTCCTCCTCCTCCTCCTGCAGCAGCAACAGCAGCAGCAGCGACGACAGCAGCAGAAGCAGCAGCAGAGCCTCTGCTCCTCACTTCACAACCAAGTCAATTCGAGACAGATATGAAGATGATAAAATATTGCCCTCCCAAATCAAGCCGGAGGGAGGGAGGGAGGGAGGGAGAGAGGGAGGGAGGGAGAGAGGGAGGGAGGGAGGGAGAGAGGGAGGGGGGAGTGCAGGGCTGTGCAGTGCAGTGCAGGGCTCGGTGTCTGGGAGCGGCTGTGTCTCGGGATAGTGAGAGGGGATTCACACAGACACTCACACCCTGACTGACCGACCACAGCAACACCTGAGCCCCTCACACACCCCCTCACACACCCCCTCACACACCCTCACACACACACACCCTCACCCACACTCACCCTCACACCCTCACCCTCACACACCCTCACCCTCACACACACACCCTCACACACCCTCACACACACACAGGCCACCAGCCACTCACTGTCACTGTCACTACCACAGCCACAGCACAGCCCCGTCAACCTGAGCCACTGCAGGGAGGAGCCATCACAACCCCTCCCCCCCCTCCCTCCTCCCTCCCTCCCCCCTCCTCACTCACTCCCCCCTCACTCCCCCCCTCACTCACTCCTCCCTCCCTCCACACTCACTCCCCCTCACTCCCCCTCCTCACTCACTCCTCCTCCCTCCACACTCACTCCCTCCTCACTCACTCCCTCACTCACTCCCCTCCTCACTCACTCCCCCACTCCCCTCACTCACTCTCCTCCCTCCACACTCACTCCCCCCTTCACTCACTCACTCATCCCCCATTCACTCATTCACTCACTCCCCCCTCCCTTCACACTCACTCACTCTTCACTCACTCCCTCCTCACTCACTCCCTCCTCCCTCACTCACTCCCTCCTCACTCACTCCCCCCTCCCTCACTCCCTCCTCACTCACTCCCCCTCCCCTTCACTCACTCCCCCACTCCCTCCTCACTCACTCCCCCACTCCCTCCTCACTCACTCCCCCTCCCTCCTCATTTACTCTCTCCTCACTCACTCCCCCTCCTCCACACTCACTCACTCACTCTTCACTCACTCCCTCCTCACTCACTACCTCCTCACCCACTCCCCCTCCCCCTCACTCACTTCCCCCTCCCTCCTCACTCACTCCCCCCTCCCTCCTCATTTACTCTCTCCTCACTCACTCCCCTCCTCCTCACGCACTCACTCCTCACTCACTCCCCCCTCCTAACTCAATCACTCCCTCCTCACTCACTCCCCCCCTCCCTCCACACTCACTCCCTCCTCACTAACTCATCACTAACTCACTCATTCACTCCCCCCTCCCTCCACACTCACTCACTCTTCACTCACTCACTCCTCACTCACTACCTCCTCACTCACTCCCCCTCACTCACTTCCCCCTCCCTCCTCACTCACTCCCCCCTCCCTCCTCATTTACTCTCTCCTCACTCACTCCCCTCTCTCCTCACGCACTCACTCCTCACTCACTCCCCCCTCCTAACTCAATCACTCCCTCCTCACTCACTCACTCCCCCCTCCCTCCACACTGCTTCCCTCCTCACTCACTCCTCACTCACTCCTCACTCCCCCCTCCCTCCACACTCACTCCCTCCTCACTAACTCATCACTAACTCACTCATTCACTCCCCCCTCCCTCCTCACTCACTCACTCCCCCCTCCCTCCACACTCCCTCCTCACTCACTCCTCACTCACTCCCCCCTTCCTCCACACTCACTCCCTCACTAACTCATCACTAACTCACTCACTCCCCCCTCCCTCCTCACTCACTCCCCCCCTTCCTCTACACTCACTCACTCAATCACCCTCCCTCTGCACTCACTCACTCCCCCCTCCCTCTACACTCACACCCGCCTCCCTCATACTCATTCACTCCCACCTCCCTCTCCACTCACTCACTCACTTCCTCCTCACTCACTCACGCCCCCCCTCTCTGGCTCATTCACGCCCCCCCTCCCTCCTCACGCACTCACTCCTCCTCACTCCTCACTCACTCCTCCCTCCTAACTCACTCCCACCCTTCCTCCACACTCCCTCCCTCCTCACTCCCTTCTCACTCACCCCCCTCCCTCCACACTCACTCCCCCTCCCTCCTCACTCACTCACTCCCCCCTTCCTCTACACTCACTCACCCCTCCTTCTACACTCACTCACTCAATCACCCCTCCCTCTACACTCACTCACTCCTCCCTCCCTCTACACTCACTCCCGCTTCCCTCACACTCATTCACTCCCCCCTCCCTCTTCACTCACTCGCTCCCTCCCCCTCCCTCTACACTCACTCCCTCCCCCTCCCTCTGCAATCACTCCCTCCCTCTGTACTCACTCCCTCCCTCTACACTCACTCCCGCCTCCCTCATACTCATTCACTCCCACCTCCCTCTCCATTCACTCACTCACTTCCTCCTCACTCACTCACGCCCCCCACTCCCTCGCTCATTCACGCCCCCCCTCCCTCCTCACGCACTCACTCTCTCCTCACTCCTCACTCACTCCCCCCTCCTAACTCAATCACTCCCTCCTCACTCACTCCCACCCTTCCTCCACACTCCCTCCCTCCTCACTCCCTTCTCACTCACCCCCCTTCCCTCCACACTCACTCCCCCTCCCTCCTCACTCACTCACTCACTCCCCCCTTCCTCTACACTCACTCACCCCTCCTTCTACACTCACTCACTCAATCACCCCTCCCTCTACACTCACTCACTCCTCCCTCCCTCTACACTCACTCCCGCTTCCCTCACACTCATTCACTCCCCCCTCCCTCTTCACTCACTCGCTCCCTCCCCTTCCCTCTACACTCACTCCCTCCCCCTGCAATCACTCCCTCCCTCTATACTCACTCCCTCCCTCTACACTCACTCCCGCCTCCCTCATACTCATTCACTCCCACCTCCCTCTTCATTCACTCACTCACTTCCTCCTCACTCACTCACGCCCCCCCCTCCCTCGCTCATTCACGCCCCCCCTCCCTCCTCACGCACTCACTCTCTCCTCACTCCTCACTCACTCCCCCCTCCTAACTCAATCACTCCCTCCTCACTCACTCCCACCCTTCCTCCACACTCCCTCCCTCCCTCCTCACTCCCTTCTCACTCACCCCCCCTCCCTCCACACTCACTCCCCCCTCCCTCCTCACTCACTCACTCACTCCCCCCCTTCCTCTACACTCACTCACCCCTCCTTCTACACTCACTCACTCAATCACCCCTCCCTCTACACTCACTCACTCCTCCCTCCCTCTACACTCACTCTCGCTTCCCTCACACTCATTCACTCCCACCTCCCTCTCCACTGACTCTCTCATCCCCCTCCCTTTCACTCACTCCTCCCCTCCCTCCACACTCACTCCCTCCTCCCTCCTCACTCACTCACTCCCCCCCTTCCTCTACACTCACTCACTTACCCCTCCTTCTACACTCACTCACTCAATCACCCCTCCCTCTACACTCACTCACTCCCCTCCCTCTACACTCACTCCCGCTTCCCTCACACTCATTCACTCCCACCTCCCTCTCCACTGACTCACTCATCCCCCTCCCTTTCACTCACTCCTCCCCTTCCTCTACACTCACTCCCCCCTCCCTCTTCACTCACTCGCTCCCTCCCCCTCCCTCTACAATCACTCCCTCCCTCTATACTCACTCCCTCCCTCTACACTCACTCCCGCCTCCCTCATACTCATTCACTCCCACCTCCCTCTCCATTCACTCACTCACTTCCTCCTCACTCACTCACGCCCCCCCTCCCTCGCTCATTCACGCCCCCCCTCCCTCCTCACGCACTCACTCTCTCCTCACTCCTCACTCACTCCCCCCTCCTAACTCAATCACTCCCTCCTCACTCACTCCCATCCTTCCTCCACACTCCCTCCCTCCCTCCTCACTCCCTTCTCACTCACCCCCCTTCCCTCCACACTCACTCCCCCTCCCTCCTCACTCACTCACTCACTCCCCCCCTTCCTCTACACTCACTCACTTACCCCTCCTTCTACACTCACTCACTCAATCACCCCTCCCTCTACACTCACTCACTCCCCCCTCCCTCTACACTCACTCCCGTTTCCCTCACACTCATTCACTCCCACCTCCCTCTCCACTGACTCACTCATCCCCCTCCCTTTCACTCACTCCTCCCCTTCCTCTACACTCACTCCCCCCTCCCTCTTCACTCACTCGCTCCCTCCCCCTCCCTCTACACTCACTCCCTCCCCCTCCCTCTGCAATCACTCCCTCCCTCTATACTCACTCCCTCCCTCTACACTCCCTCCCTCCCCCATCCCTCTGCACTCACTCCCTCCCCCACCCCTCTACAAACACTCCCTCCCCTTCCCTCTACACACACTCACTCACTCCCTCTCTCTCTCCCCCTACACACACTCCCTCCCTCTCTGCCTCTCTCTCTACACTCACTCCCTCCCTCTCTCTCTGTCTCTCTCTCTCTCTCTTTCTCTCTCATTCACTCCCTCCCTCTCTCCCCTGCCTCTCACTCTACACTGACTCCCTCTCTCCCTGACTCTCTCTCTCCACTCATTCTCTCCCTGCCTCTCTCTCTACGCACATTCACTCGTTCCCTCCCTGCCCCCACCCCCTCTACGTTCAATCACTGCCTCTCTCTCTCTCTTTAAATTAATCCCTGTCTCTTCAGATTATTTCTCTCACTCCACTCACCCCATCTCTCTAGTCAGATTATTTATCACTCTCCGTTCACTCTCTTTTATAAAATTATCTCTCCCTCTCCACCCACTCACTCTCATTTCTGATTATTCCATGTGTCTCATTCTTCTCTCATCTCATATTATTTTTCTCTGATTATTTCCCTCACTACTTGTATTTTTCCTCTCCTCAGATTATTCATCTTTTACCCATTCATCTCTGTCTTCTCTTATAATACTCCTCTCTCTTCTCAGGTAGCCCTGCACAGCTCGAGAACGAACCTTG